CTTTGAGCCTCGAGCATCTGCCAGAACCTCTCGTCACTCCCCCCTACATCAATCTCACCAGACTGTGGTGATCCATCTGCTCCTCCGAACTGTACATGCTCTCCCATAAGGCACTAACCACATTATGCCTTATCATGTATCAGTATTCCACCTAGTTGTGCAGAGCCAGCCAGTCTGTCCGCCTGTTCATTTCCCAACACACCGGTGTGCCCCGGTGAAAAAATCCAGACAATACTCCTCACCCGTGTCCTCCGCAGTGAAGAATGCCACTCTGCACGAAGCATACCTGTTCTGATCTTCCTCAGCATGCTTTCTGAGTCAGTTAAAATCATGATGTGTGTGTGTGTTGTGTTCTCTAGCCAGCGGAAAGCTGCAGTGACGACCTCCACCTCCATTCTTAAGCTGGATGTTGTTGTATCATATGCTAGGCTCTCCTGCACCAAAAGTCGACCATTATCTTTTGCTAAGAAGCGCCAAGCACTTCTTTTGCCTCTTGACACTGAACCGTCTGTGTAAATGATCAAATCCTCTGAGCGAGCATTATCTTGAAATAATTGCTGAATTTCCACCTCCGTGGCACCTGCTGGCCAGTCTCTGCATTCCCGGCTCAGCGTGATTATGACTCTACACAAGTCTGACTGTTGAGGTTTAGGTTTTAACAACAATCCAACATCATGGCACAAGGGTAGTAACCAATACAGGCTCTGTTCTACTTCAAACTCAAGCTTGAGTCCAAAGATTCTCGGTGCAGTGCACGAACTCTGTAGCACTGGTGAGGATCCTGAAATACTTTGGGTAGATTTGTAACTTAAATTTTTTCTCAGGCAGCGCTTTTAGGCTAATTTTTTCAATTTCCAACTGCCAGGGGATTTGTTTTTTACAACAATACACGTGGGCATACTACCTAACTACACAGAGAACAAATCCCAGCCTTCTCTGGGACCTGAACCCAGGACCTCCAGCACTTGTGGCTGACGCCATGCTTGGAGACCACTCTGCACCCCAAGAAGAAGTATCTTGCAAGCCATATGGGACACTGTCGTGGCAATTTTATAACTGAATATCTGCCTATGATAGAATGTATATACCCTGTGTCGAGGAGCAACGATAGACAAGGTACTTTACAAGATGAACAATACAGACTTTACAAGATGAACAATACAGATGGAAGAAGATGAATATTTTCAGTCTTTATGAATCGCCTTTAAAAAGTATAAAGTAACATATTTGCACGCAAGAATACAACCTATCTTCCACATTCAAAAGTTGTTATTGTTAAATTACTTTTCATGAGTTATTGAAATAAAATAGGACTATAAAATTAGCAGCAATTATGTAAGTTCATTTGTAAGATGAAATAATTTTATATGAAAGCACATAGGGCTGGAGAATGGACTAGAGACAGGGAGACTTTCAGGTGTGTCGTTGACGAGAGCCACATTCTGTAAAGAACCTGCTGACTGAGGATAGATGAACTATTTGAAAAGTATTACTTCTTTTGGCCTATCTGGAGTAGAAATTCACATGTGAGCCTTAAGAATATTGTAAAATGACAAATAAAGGATCTTTTTCGTCACCTTCAGGCGTATTTGGCATATAAGGCTAAAATTCTATTTTATAGATCAATCGGTATTTGATAGGTAATGTGTTCAGCATCACACCGGCTTCCTTTACTTCACAGGACTGTACCTGGTACCTATTCAAGGTTGGATTGACCTGGGAGTCAAGGTCATTTTTTAAAAAAAAAGTCTGGCTGCGTCTGGACCTTTCCGATCCGTACAGTACATATCAGGAAAATCACCCAATCTTGCCGGGCACGATATTTTGTGCCGGCTCCCATTCATGCGGTTCCCACAGGTTGCCCTGTTGTAAGAATGTTAGAATATGCGTTGCTTTGCCATCTATACACATCGTGCAGAAAGGCAGCTCCTGTTTACTCGAGGCCTGAAACGAAAGGGTGGAACTCTCTTTCATGGCAGGCGACATTGAGTGCGCGAGCGAGTGTTCTACTAGTTTTCTTTCCTCTGTCAACTAGGTCTCTTTTGCAATCGTCACTGGTCTGAGAATCGGTGACATTTTAGGGTGGGCCCTGCGTCATGTCACCAAGTAAGGCAGCAGTGATAGCGACAAAGAGCGAACACACAACGCAAGTAACACGCAGATTGTCATGCTATGTATCTGATTTTCTTTAAGCAACTTTCTTTTCACTCCCAATCTCTTCAGAACCTCTGTATTTGACTGTTTTTGTTTCCATCAGATATAACCTATTCTTCTGTATACCCACATCTCCAGAGACTCACTCGTGGCAAATCAACCCCAAAATTTGTGGGCTGCTTTTGATTTTCCTTGATAATTTTATGTTCAGTAGTTTGCCATTGTTCTCTGAACAGTCAGCCTTTCATACTACAGAGAAATCAGTGCAATGAAATCAGTTGCAATATATTAAAAAAAAAAAGGCAAATGTCATTTTAAAACAAACCTATTTACTGTAGTTCTCAAACAACATACTAACAATTAACAAACAATTGAATTAAAACATAGTTAATTATAAAATATGTATATTTTTTTTTGTAAAACAAAATCAAGATGATATGCCTTCTATTTGATTGTCATAGTAGTACTTTGGACGGAAAAATGAAAACAGTGATTAGCAACATATTATGATGATTTCGCATATATATATCTTTACTGTATGTAAATTATGACTTATTCAACAAATTTTTTTCCTATGTGCTGTGCAAAAATTATATAGAAATTATGTTTTCAAAATATAATATTCATTTTTAAATTGTATGCATGGCTACCAAAAAAAAAAAAAAAATTCAGTTAATTTTTCGTCACACAGTATAGCAAAACTGTTCACAGCAAAGTAATATATAAGTATAATAAAAGAGGCAGGTTAGATGAACCAAGCTGACAAATCTGCATTTGTAAATTTATTAAAGTCTAAACAGTTTTATTTAGAGACATTTTATAATGTATTCCAATCATTAGATATACTATTCACAGTTAAAGTATTAAATATGGGCATGAAAGACCAGGGGAAAACAGTTATGATGGAATATAAAGAAATTTATGAGCAGTTACGCAGCTAAATATCCATGGATTTACACATTTAGAAACCACTTCACAGCCTTATGCTGAGTAAATAAGAGAATTAGCAAAAGTGAACTATGTTGACTGTTGACTGACTATTGACAAAGCTGATTTAATTATGATTATAAGTGCAGTTTATAACATTATAAATGCAGAAAGGTCACTGAGCTTCCTTAATGATGTTGCAGTGGGCATACCTGATGCATATTGAATACTTGTAAATATTTTAATATATAAATGTGTGTGTGTGCGTGTATATGAAAACTAAACAGACTCTTTTAACACCACTTGTGCATTGTGCATATCGTACTAGATTTATATTATAATAGACCAGTCGGCAATTGGTGAGGGGATCAGTATCACACCAGCAAACTTTACCCTCCATGACATTGCCAGATTCCCTGACAAGGTCAATTATAAAAAAAAATGTGTGTGTGCGTGCGTGTTGGTTTGTAATTTGCATTTTGTATTATTCTCAATTTTTATAATATACTCCACAATAATACTGCTGTCATAAATTAAGTCAAGGAGGCACAAGAACTTCTTGTACAACTGTATCTGCTGTTCACACGGAGTTAATGTTCCCAATATCTACTTGCCGTGCATTACAGCATTCAGTTGAAATAGTTAACTGTTTCCATGACATGTGGTACATTGGCAATATGAAGTTTAGTCCACATTGTTAGACCAAGTGACCCTCAATAGGTAATGTGGGGGAGTACAACGCTGGCTGTCTTTATTTCCACATCACACACACAAAAATAATAATAATAATAATAATAACAATACAAGAATTAAAAAAAAATTGATTCTGTTTAACTGAGGTGCAACTTTTGTTCGCTAATGTAATTTGTGTTGTTTTTTGTTTTGTTTTCTAAATCTCACAAAAGAAGCACTTTATGATTGTTGGTAACACAGTTTTTATAATGCAATAGTCTCAAGTTAAATCCCAGTGTCTGTGATATTAATTTCCCACCCAACATCTTAAAAATGTTAGATACTCTGAAAAAGACCAGTTTTGGACACACTTTTATCAAGCAGAACTTTTAATTGGACCCCTAAATGATGGAAGACGGAAGGAAGCACACTGAAGTGTGGTAAATGTATTTATAGAATGTGATTATCAACTGGCATAAGTTGACATTTCTGTAAATGGCAGACTAAAGCACTCACTTGTTGTAACAGGCACACAGCTGTCAAGGGCAAAAGTATTATACTGTCGGTGTGGACATGGAAGTAAAGTGGAAAACCATCATATCAGCTTTCTAAGGTCTCATGCTTTGAAAAATATTAGAGTCGAAGAATGACCCTAAAAAGACTTAGGTCTGAACACCAATGGTCGAGAGCCATAGTGGGACACATACATCTTATCTGGCAAGTTTCTTGAAAATGATTAATTACACTTTTGTATATCATTCCTGGTAAAAAAAAAAAAAATTTTTTAATGGCCTGTTGGCAGTGACACACTTCAACAAGTTGCCCGTATTTCTGAATCCTCAAACTAGTTTTTTCAATATGAAGATTGAACAGACACAAATTAGGCCGTGACTAATTGTAATGTTTTCCTATGCATTGTAACTTTAAAAGCTTTTCTCTTACAGGCACTGTTTCGCTTGTGCTATATCTTATATTTTCTTCTTTTAGATTCTTCCCCACCTTTCACTGGTTCTTTTTGTTTCTCGCTACAGTGTATTTCACTGATAAGTTCTGAATGTTATTTGTGATCAGCAGTACCCAGTTCTGACGAATGCCTATTGTGATAAACTTCTGCTGTCAGGCAAGCACCATGTCCATTTTTGTCACCTAATTTACAATGCATCTGTGCAGTTCTGTGTTGCAAAGATGAACTTGCTTTCCATTCTTCTTGTTGATTACAGGCAGTGTTTCACAAAATAAATTAAAACTTAATATTTTTCATATGGCAGGTCGGCTTGGCAAATCTTGTTCCTGAAACACAGAAAAAAGAAAAAAAGTGTAACCCCTGGGCTTTTAAGTACAGCATCAGCAAGAACAATGACAACATCAATAGCAGCAGCAATGTCAACAATAAAGGTAATGTTTTTTCAATTTTATTTATTATACGCTAATGGAAGTTAGAGAACCATTGAAGACATGGAGTGAAAGCTAAATGTATTCGAAAACATATGCTTAAAGAGGGTAGATTTTAAACAGGAGGAATACAAGATAGGTGAGGAAATAAAAGAAATATCTGGATACTTTGATAGAACAGCTATAGCAAAAATAAGATGGCGATATATGTAACAGGCATTAACATGGAAATCGAGCATTAACATGGCAAACAGGCATTAACATGGAAAACGTGCATTAACATGGCAAACAGGCATTAACATGGAAAACGTGTATTAACATGGCAAACAGGCATTAACATGGAAAACGTGCATTAACATGGCAAACAGGCATTAACATGGAAAACGTGCATTAACATGGCAAACAGGCATTAACATGGAAAACGGGCATTAACATGGCAAACAGGCATTAACATGGAAAACGTGCATTAACATGGCAAACAGGCATTAACATGGAAAACAAAGCACTGAGGAAACGTGGACGCTCAGGAGAAACCGCAAAATGGACATTAATAGAAAAGGCCAAAGGGGCTGGACGGAATTAAATTCATGATAACAACATTTTCTGTAATATAAATAAACCTACCATCAAATCTCTTTCTGAAATGTTCGTGTATTCTAGATAAAGCATTATGGTCTGCTGTGTTTGTAAATTGTTGCTGTGTTTATTTTTCGACCTTTGCTTGGGTAATTTAAATTTCAGTAGCCTTTTGGTGTCATTTCAGTGTTTTGAAATGAATTCTGTCCGTATTCCATAGTTGTGGACTTCAAGCTTTACGATAGACACGGCCAATGAAAACACCTTTTGTATTGGGGCCTAGCTGGTCATGTTGGTGGCAACCCTATTCCGGAACTCCGCTACGCAGATGACAGTCCTCCTTTCGACCAGCGTAAAGGAAATATAAAATTTAATATTGTCTGTCCAAAAGCACAGTGAAGATCAAAATATGTTCTTGAATTTAAAGAAAACAAAAATAATGTCCACATATAAAACTGGCTGTCAGCCAAAAATAACAATGAATGATGAAGAAAATGTCACAAACTTTGAATATCTAGGATCTATAATAAACAGCAATGGAGACTGTTCAACAGAAATTAAAAGGAGGATGGCCATAGCAATGCAAAGATTGAACAGCCTTAAAAGTCTATGGTTAAGCACCAGCAAGGAGATAAAAATTAGAATTTTGAGAGCATGTATCTTCTTTGTGGGTTCATACGGATGTGAGTCGTGGACTATCTCTCAGTCCTTAAGAAAGAGAATAGGGGCTTTTGAGCTGAAATGCTATAGAAAGATTCTCAAAATATCTTGGACAAAGCAGAGAACAAATATTGACATGTTGAAAGATCTGAACATCAGGGAAGATTGGCTAATAAACAGCATCTTTTCTCGGAAGCTGAAATATTTTGGTCATATCAAGCGCCACAACGAATTGGAAAAAAATATAACAGAAGGCATGGTACCAGGAAGGAGGGGGAGGGGCCAACCGACACGAATATGGGCACAGAATATAAGTGACTCCTTGAGTATGAAAGTACATGAGGCCGGAGAACTGGCGAGAGACTGAGTTTCTTTTAGGCAGACTGTGATGGGAGCGACGTTCTGCAAAGGACCTGCTACATGATGATGATGATGAGCTGGTCGTGTTCTTAGAACACTTGTTTCCAAAGTGAGGTGCACACGCCATTTGGATGTGACAGGTTCGACTCCCCGCATGGTAACTACAGCTTTCAATTTTTATGTTGTCTAGTGTGTCCTTCTATCTTTCTACTTCTTTCTATGAGTGTCGATCAACAGATTATATGTTTATTATGCCTATGATATGGAATGGAGAAATAGACTGAAAGCCCTATTTGATATATAAACGGCAAGACAGGATGATGATGATTATAAAGTTGATGAGGGAGTCGCTGTGGCAGAGCGGCTACAGGCCCACCGCGGACAGGAAGGTCGCAGGTTCGCTCCCTGGCGGAACCAGACTTCTCTTCAAAAATTACCTTGGCTCCCAGGTTGACCCAGCCTTGATTGGTACCCGGTGCAGTCCCGGGAAGTAGAGGTGGCCGGCGTGATGATGACCACATAACCTATCTTGTGCCGTTGGTCTGTAAAAATATAGGTCTAGCCCTATATGCCCTATACGCCTAAAGGCGTGGAAAGGGGTCCTTTCCCCATTTTACTTTACTTAAAGAGGATGGCAATGATGAACAACATGCAATACTGGACAACATTAATTGTAAAATATTACGGATAACCAAATTATTAACACATATAATAATTATTTATACAAAAATCTTCTGGTCACGTTTTAAGCCTTTAGATTATTTAAAAAAAAAAATAATAGCATAAAGCAGCCACAATAAATATAATCAAATTCAATTTGGAGGTTTAACCTGTCCTTAAGTTTAATTTAACAAGTTTATTTTCCAGTTTAATTTATCGAGAGAGACAAAACAGGCTAGAGAAATTTGTCTTTTCTTTCCTATCTATATTTAATGTTGGTATAATTGGACTGTGATTGTGCATATTTAGATTATATCTACTTCTACATGTAACCCATTTACATAATTTATAAACACTCTCGGCCTGATAGTTTTTTGTTTTTTTTTAAATAATCGTTGTACTACATTCAAATGTGTGTTTTTTCAACTTAAAAAAAAAAACACATTAATTTATGAAAGTGACATACTTAAGAAATATTTTCTGTTAGTCCAGAAATAAAAAATACAAGACACCAAAAAACAAAAATGAAAATTAGAGGCACCGAGAGCCTATGGCTTAAACAAACAAAAATTATTATACTAAATTAAAAGGGCAACCAATAGGAAACACTGATCGATTTAAAATTACATACATAGAAAATTAATATAAAATCACGTCGAGAGAATTGATCACTGCACCAGCTTTCATCCCACATGACTGGGTTGCCTTCCATAGAATAGCTGTCTATTAAGATAATTGCACAAAGCACGATCCCCCAGCTCTGGCAATAATACCCATGGATCGTTTTGAAAATCACCATCATGAACTGAATGATCAATCTGCGAAATGAACTCACAATTTTGAGAGCACGAGGTAAGAGGTTTAGACATTTAGCCACAGCCACTAATTGGCATGTTAATAATGGCAAACATTATTTACCAGTAGGAACTTACTTAAAATGATGTGTTTTGCTTGGTGCTTTCTTGTTAAAGTTACTGTAGATTAAAAATGTAAACATGTGTATATTGTTAGTCTCTTGAACGATAAGCAATGAATAAGTAAATGATACCCTATGCAACCCTATGTCTACATCTAAAGATTCTACAACCGATTAAAAAAACAACTTTTCCAAGACATAAGACACACTAATTTTCCAAAAATATAGGGCCTTAAAACATTGTGTATCTAATAGTGATAGTAGATTTTTAGCAAATGATTAGTAAATATCACTTGAAGGCCCATATTTGGGAGCGCCAGCTAGAGGGCGACATAAAATGAAAAACAACTGTAAAATTAAAAGTTCTCTCCCTCTGTAATAGTTTTTGTGCTTGTCTTTGTGCTCATTTTTTTGCACTTGTTACATAAGGTTACAACTAATGGATTGCACAATTTATTCCTGGCATATTTCGCTGTATCTCGTCAGGTGCATACTACAGTAACAATTAAATAAATGAAGCAAATAATTGAATCCTGTATAACTAAAGTACAAATTCAGCCACACTGAAAAGTGACTGCATGTTTTACTAGGGCAACCGCAATGTCAGAACCATGTCTTTCTGTTTACAAAGTACAGGCCACAGGTAAAGAATCATGGCGGCTTCAATAAATCTTAGCCCTCTGCTATTGGGCAACATATGCAGAATTTGAAGCACGTTGTCCTTGCTTACAGTGTGTATACAGTCCAAAAGGTTTCATGCTACTGTCGATGGTAGTGGAGCGATGGGGGTCTTTATGACCAGTCACCTGGGTAGTGTTTGTAGTATTAATGTTCCTGCTGTTCTCATTTTTATTTTTATTTTGCATGGCTTTTTCCAACTCTACTGGAATATGCTCTGCACCTTATTTCTCCTGGCGCCGATCAGTTCTGCCCACCTAAGCAGCTTCACAGCTGCATCGGGTTGGGTTTATCTGCCTTAAAACGCTGTTGTTACTGTGCACATCAAACATAGAGTTCAACTTCCTAAAGCAGCCTTGCTGCCATATTGATGAAATGATCCTGGGAAGTCCACAGTGTCCTATTCTGGAAGACATCTTTGTGGCACTGTCAGAGACCTACTTTACTATTATCACTTTATATGGCTCGTTATGTAGGCCAGCTAACAGACTTCATTACCCTGGACACACTTAAGACACGCACCTGCTGAATACAAACATAATCTTTAATGTACAATGAACAATACAGCTATAGACACCTCAATTGAGTAGGCAGTTCCTATCTGAACCAGCTGGCATTGACCAGCTTTATATTCACTGGTCAACCCAAGCCGGTTCCCACGGATCTACAAGAAACACGAAGATACTAAACACAGAAATCCTATTCAACTAACCGTCACTAACCTAATGTAAGTTTACCTAGTCGAAGCGCTACGTCTCGGTCCCGTCCAGATTAACTGGCCTCTGACAGGCACACTTAGAAGAAAGAAGATCTTTGGACATTGACAAGTTAGTTTGTTACGGACATTATTTGGAAGATATACTAATCTTTACCACAAACAAATAACAAGCGGAATTATTACACACTTAAATGAACAAGGCACACAAGAACATGTAATTGTTCCTGTAACACAAATGCAATAATATATTTTTTTAGGCATCCTGATCAGACGAAGGGAAAACAGCACAATTCAAAGATCAGTCTATCAGAAAGGCACTGTGACAGGCCAGAACATGCATTTCAAGTTTTGAACCTGATGAGATACAGCAAATTATGCCACGCAATAAACTGTGCAATCTACTATTTATGATTTACAATGGGGGAACATTGCTTTGACATTTGATTATATTTTGCCCGATTTCGTGGAATAGTGTAACTTAGAGTAGAAATAGGTAATAAGGAAATCTAGATTGCTTTGTTATTCGTTATATTTAAAGCATATATGTTTAAAATTTGTGCTTAAAGAACTTCATAACATTAATATTAACTTACTTGCCACTCTTGTTAACAAAATATCTCATTCTGCGAAAATGTTTTGATAATTTCACAGCTGCACAGATGGACATGACTAGAAAAAACGAAGTCCAGCCAATAGTACACCACCAAGTGTTCTACAGAAGAAAGAAGACATACTTAAAATATTACCAGTTTAACTTAAGTTATAATTCTGCGTTCTGCGGCGCCTGTGGTTTAGGCGTTGCGTGTCCAACTCGTGATTCCAACGTACCGCAATCGAAACCCACTGCTGGCTGCATGGATTGTTATCATTGTATGAAGCGTCACAGGTCGACACAGTATAAATTGGGTACCAGGATGGCTGTCCTGGGGAAGTAAAGACGACCGACATAATGCTGACCACATTACTCACCTAGTGCCGACTGGTGTGAAAAAATATGGGTGCTCTTCCCACATGCCTGATGCGCCTAAAGGCGTGAAAAAGGATCTTAACTTACTTGCTTATTATTATGCTTTCACCCTCAAAAAGGTGTTTGGCCCTTGTGTTGTGGTTTACAAGAGGACAGAGGAGCTGAAACATGTGGCCTTAGGCACCCTGGCCTCCCCAACGTAATAGAAATGTAAGAAGAGCTCAGCATAACCCCCCCCCCCCCCGCCCTTTCCCGGGGCTAGCACCCCACACCAACTATGTACTGAAGTTCTTAATACATCTATCTTGAAACGTACGTCTCATCTCATCTTGATCCACTTGTACCTTGCGGTGTCGAGGCGAAGTATAATTTATGGGAAAGAGCTCGTTTGTGTGCTTTGAAAAATGGGGATTTCCCAGGGACTCTGTTAGTCCTTTCTGTTATCGCTTGCATGATCGGCATCTTATTCGCTACCTCTCTGGTCTGTACATCAGGGCTTGCTATTGTATAGTCTGCTGACATCTGAGTTACATGGCCGAACCATTTCACTTGTCTTCTTAAAAAAAATTCAGAACTTTTATTATATTGTTTCAAATATAGTTTCAAATAGATTTTCTGTCAAATAGTGACGTTGAACAACCGACATACACCCATTTATAATCAAAATATCTCCGGTTCTGTTGATCAGATTGTAACATTTTTTCCTGCATATGAAAATAGACATGTTCATCTACAAGGTTAGCGGCAAAGAATTTGTAAAAGCAAAAATATGATATTTTTCACATTTCTAGCCAGACTGCCCCCTTCATTCCTTTTAGTCCTTTTATGTCGTTCAATTCTGAGCGTAAAATACTTAGTTACCAATGTTTCAACGACCGAATGGCATATTCCTTGGACCGCTACATCATTGTAGATGTTCCACAATGGTCTGCAGATGCCTATCTTCTTCTTTACCTGAAAATATATCAGGTATAAGGCACAATGTTAACTTAATCTATGAAAGCAATTTAATTAACATTATGACAAATGTTACTGCTATTGACATTTTCTAGGAGGAAATGTTTGGAGCTTCGAGATAAGAGCTGCTTGTTTAATCGCTATGCAATGTACAGGTTAGGTTGTTTAAAGACAGGCAGGCAAGTAGGCAGGCATACATATATACAGACAGACAGCAAGTCATTATGTCGTTTGTCTGACAACTAAGCTTTGGGGGTGAGCTAAGAGACCTTGAGATGGCATTCCAGTTTATGGCCCACAGTGGATTAAGCGCATGATAAGAGATCGCTGAAGAAGATTACCAATGAAACTGTTACTTGGAAAATATATGTGATGGATTTTCCCTGAATTCCACACTCATATAAGATATTCACGCTCTACAGTTACGACTTGTTTTACTGAGGGTAGTGACAATCGCAGTTTTAACAGCATAATCTTGATCACAGATGTCAGTATGAACTTTTGACCGATTGAATGACTGATGTTCAACCCTATAAGAACCACTTAATGAGCGATAAACACCCAGTGATAAAAAAAATGCTACCATTTGGATGAGAATCACCCTGGTGCAAGTCCCAGAAACTCGTTCAATCTGTAGGTTATAGTTAGGGCCCCCGACGACAGCCGGATAGGGCTTTAATATATACACACACACAAAATAAATTGGGGTACTATATTTTGTGCTCACCCCATTACGTCAATTTGACGTCACAGGAGACAGTCAAAAAATTCCAAGAGTGGTAAGGTTAGGGTTTTCCCATTTCTAGAATGCGTTGCAAAAGATGCGCGCGCTTTGTGCTTCTTATGACGTGTGTTTTGCCGCTGCGTCTTTTTGCAGTAGCAGTCTTCATCAATCAGTGTTTGCCGCCGCGCGCGTCCATCTTGTCGCAGCACGTTGCAGAAACAACCCTGAGATGGTGTTATCGCAAGGCTGGAAGGGTCGGTTGGTCGCGCCGGCTATCATAAAGACAAATCATTCTGTTTATATACTGCAGGCCTCAAGAGATGAACAAGCATTCAATTTTGCCAAGTAGAGCTGTGCATGTCGCCGACTACGACTGTGGAATGGAGCAACTACTGATGGAAGGTTTGTGCGAATACATTATTATTGAATCCTGCTCCAGTGATCGGCTGCGGCGGCGGAGAAAACACCACTGTTGAAATTGATGAAAGTCTGTTTGCAAGAAGCCAAAATCACGTGGGAGCGTACTTCAAAAACTAACGTGTTAAAATTGCTGTGATTATCAATTCGTGCGTGAAACCAGCAGCATACATCTAGAATGATTGGCTATTTTTAGGGCGCCCACCCCACACACACACACACAGTACCCCCAATTGGCAGTTCCTGCGATTGCACATAGAGTTCACATAGAAAAGTATACAATTTACATTTACTAAATAAAACACAATTTACATTTAAAAATAAAAAAAAAATGAATTTACAATTCAAAAAATATCACGTCGGGATTGCACGCAGCACTTTTTATTTATAAGGCGGATGTGACTACGCTACACATTCACATGAAACGTTTGTTCTGAAAAAAGGACCAGTATTGTACAGAGCCAATCAACAAGCAGCCGATTGTACACCAACAGACAGGAATAGGGCACACCCGAAAAACACTAGAAGAGCAAACAACAGTAGGAGCGCACTTGCACCCCTTGAAATAGTGGACTGTACAGTCAGCTGTGGAATTCCCCAGGATTCCCTCTATTTGGGGAAAGCAATAAATAAAGCACCAAATTGCGTCCCCACAAATTGGGACAGAAATTAATAAACTTTTACTTACAGCATTCTCTAGTACAGAAACAAACGTGTCCAGAATACTCATGAGTCGATTCTCAAAGGTCTTCACGGACTTGTTAAAAAAAAAAAAAAAAGGAAACGCATCAGTTAGATTCAGCATCAACGCCTGACTCCAGTATTTACCATTTTGTGCTACATTAATACATTGGCATTCTTCGTCATCTTAGCGTTCACCGGTTGTAAACTCCAGCAGAAAGTTCTGGTTGTTCATCCACTTCTGGACTTTGGTCTTGTCAAGAACTTGAGATTTATGTACACATCTGTTTTACTGGTGTGGTTTATTTGCATGCAAAATTTGAGGGCCTTGTTCCTCTGATGCACCCTGACTTTAAGGAAAATATCTCTAATTATTCACCTCCTATTTATTTTTTCATTACAAGACATACTATTACTTTATTTTTACATTACAAGACACGCTATTACTTTATTGTTTCATTACAAGACATACTATTAGGGAGCCTAATCTTCCCAAAAATTAAAACCCATGGTACTCAGACTGGGAACCTAACTAAACTAACTAAAGGAGGATTTAATTTCACCTGCAAATAGATGTAGACATAATTATCATCATCAATTTCCACTTCTGCCGTTAAGTGTTGTAGGGAGGAATAGTTTGCGATCCATTGCTTGATGGGCAGCATTGGCTATTGTCATTCCGTGTCGATGTAGAAGCTTTTTAACGACATTAATCCATGTTGTCCTAGGGTAGACTCTTGCTATCACTTCAGATCTTTTCATGTGTGGTGCCTGAGTTGGTAGTTTAGTTGTTCTGGCTGCATTCTTACTAAGTGACCAAACCATTCGATCTTCTGTTTCTCTGTAAATTTGCTGCATAGTGTTGTTCCTACAGTCTGTCTGATAAAATCATTTCTAACTTTGTCTCGAATGGCAGCTTTTCTCAAACATTTCGCAGGTGTTAATTTTACGTATGATGGCCTTCAGTAAAGTTCAAGTATGGCACTGGTAGCACAGTGTTGGTATGAATATACTGTTTATAATCTGTTTCTTGGAGCTCATACATACGTTTGGATGTCATAATAATGGTGTCATGTGATATATAAGTGCACTGGCTCGTTGGCATCACGTTTCTATTTCCCCATCTATTCTCCCGTCCTCCACTATTAGCCATCGGACGTTGTGTTTCATACTAAGGGGAGGATCTGAGCTCCTATGGACATGTTCTGAGTGCAATGATGATAACCCAACTAACTAACTAATCTCCCGTCCTCCGAGAATATACTAATTAGATATTTAAATTCTTGGCTCTTCTCCGAACTTCTACCCCGGCATTATGGCGGCCAAACAAATATCCTAACAGGGCCTCAGTCTTATGAAAAATGACTTCCTGCCGAGCGGCAAAACTAGGATCGGCTCCGTATAACGAAACAAATGCTCTAACAGGGTCTCAGCGATATGTTAATTGCGGACCTGTTTCTGTGACTATGCCTCACCGCCGACCGTATCTTGACGGGGGCTAAACTAGATGACTGGGACTCATGAGCAGCAGCTACCGCATCCCTTACAACTTCCTCTATTTTATTTGCTCGTGAGTCCCAGGCATCTAGTTTAGCCCTGCATCCGTCGGCAGTGAGTGTAACAGCGTTTTGCGCATGCCGACAAGTTTGAGGACAACAACGACACTAATCTGCATCGGAGCGCGTGGTCTCCCCGATATGTCGCTTTTATCGTCTGTAATGTTGCGTGTCTCGAAATAGTCAATGGTCGCTAGTATTGTCTGCTAGTATCGTATGCAGAAAAGCTCGAAAGTGTTAACGGTCGCTATTATCGTCTGCTACAATCGTCTGCAGTGTTGCGTCTCTTGAAATTGTCAGGTAAGGCTAGTTTTGCCGCGATTTGTTCGTCGCCTGAAGTTCGCATATTTTTAAGAGGACTGAGGGCCTGTTAGGATATTTGTTTGGCCGCTATAGTGCCGGGGTAGAAGTTCGGAGGAGAGCCAAATTCTTTAACTTACTTTAGACAAGTATCATTAAACCCGATGTATAGTAGCATTACTTCAGTTTTAGTAGTATTTATTTTTATGCTATATCTTCTACATGTTAAACGTAACCTTTTTAAATGTTCATAGCTATAACCAATGACATGTATTGCTATTTTGTTTAGCCTGTCACCGTCTGCTGTTCACCTAGTATAACATATATCTTAGTCTGCTTTCATGACATATATTTTATGTTTTCTATTCTTTACACCCCTTCTGCAGCACAGGAGACAAAGCTTTTCAACAAAATCTAAGGACACCGGAAACAAGGTTTCTGAGGAAAATACAAAAGAATAGCATGAGCTGACATCAAGACAGATAGGCATCGGAACCTGGGAACTTCGAGCTCCCTCCACAAATTTTTAAGAGGGAGGGCTCGGCCCCTTTACCAATACTTCTTCTCCTGAAAATTTTAGGGGGGGGGGGGGGTGTTAAGTGCAACCCCCCCCCCCCCCAAACCCTTAAGTATTTTTTATATATTTTATATTATTTCAAATTATTACTTCAATGCCCTATTCAGAACATAAAAATAATAATACTAATAATACTAATAATAATAATAATAATAATAATGATAATAATAATAATAATAATAATAATAATAATGTGCACATACGCAAGGCCCAAACCCCTTGATCGTCCAATGTAAACTGCATGAGATATTTCCTGGTAAGTTAAGGTGAATGGCGTGATAGTGACTGGAGTTTTTCCATAAAAAAATATCTTGGCTCCCTTTTCAACACAGTCTAATCTGGGTACCAAGTAAAGTCATGGGAAGCAAAGGCGACTGGCCAGATGCTGACCATATCACCAATAGAGTTTATTAACGCACACATAATTCTTCAGGTCAAAATGGACGCTAGGCACGGTCACTTTTCGTAGCCATGGCATTTTTGCTCCATTTGTAGACTGGAAGGATATAGTTTCGTTGCAGCTTCTGAGTTGAGTGCATGGCGTAACACTGTGAGCTGCGGATTTCATTTGAACTGTGATAAACATTTTATGTTTTTCTTTGGCACAGGAGCGGAGCAACTAAGGGGCGACCCGTTTGCTTTGAAGCTGAAACTCAGATTACCAGATTACCAATAGAGTGCCGATTGGTCTATAAAAATATGAGTCTTGCATCCTGTGCCTGATACGCAACTGGTCGGTTACTTACTTACTTAAAACTTGAAACTGACCTTATTGAAGGCAATCAAAGCGTTGGTGGACATATTCAGTTCAACATCTTTTAGTGAGCGTTTAAGTGTATCGCATTTGTTGCTGAGCTGTTGACAGAAAGGAGTTGGAAAAGTTCATCTATTTAGTTTTTCTGCCATTTCTTTTATAATTTTTTTGTGCTTTTTATGTGAGCAAGTGAATATGATTAGTCAAAAACATTTCCAATAGTATTTAGAACACACACACACACACACACACACACACACACACACACACACACACACACACCCACCCCCACCACCACCCCCCCCACACACACACACACACGCACACGCCACACGCACACACACACACACCCCACAACACACCCCACACACACACCCCACACACACACACACACACACACACACACACACATCTAGAACAGCAAAAAGCAACTTTAAAATGTAAAACTGTCAAATATAATGTATAAGCAACTCTACTGTTTTACTTTTCAGCAGACTCAAGTGGTCATCGCTTGAACTACGGAGTTTATACATGTACGATATTCTCTGATCACGCTTTGCAGAGAGAGAGAGAGAGAGAGAGAGAGAGAGAGAGAGAGAGAGAGAGAGAGAGAGAGAGAGAGAGAGAGAGAGAGAGAGAGAGAGAGAAAGCCATTCTGGATAACACTCCCACATACGCTTCTTTAACTGTAACATTTTAACATGAACTAATAATAATAATAATAATAATAATAATAATAAATCATGAAAATAATGCCTATGAAAATTCAATGTTAACCTACTGTTTTGCTTGGCGGCTCTTTCGTAGCCACTTTTATGCGATTTACTGCGTCCTTCATCCTTTCCTGTGACAACAACAACAAAATAACATAAAACAATGTTCACAAAGTCTTAGTATGCGGGTAGGTAGTTGTAACCTACCAGGACATCGCACAAGCTCAAAAAACCCGTTGACACAAAGTGCCACCATGCGTAAGAGGATCACCCGTGGAGAGGTCCCAGAAACCCCTTTCAGTCGTCAGGCCATATCTTTGGCTAGGCCATATTTATGGCTTAGCTATGTTCAGGGTCCCCCGCCAAAAGCCAAGGTGGGGCTTCTAAACAACAAACAATTGCATCCAACTAGGAAACGAAAGATAATTTAAAAAGTCTTACTTAGCTAACAGTGTTTACACAGTTTCTCTCTCTTCAAGACATAAAACGGGTGAGCTATTTGTAATAAGTAGTAAGCAATAAAAATTAATAGAAAAAAGAGGGGGGGGGGGGGGCAATGAAAAGTAAGTGGCGATTACTGCCATTTCACGCATGCCTGGCTTGACTTGATGTTTTTACCCCACCAGGACATCACACAAAGCGATAAACACCCGGTGACACAAAGTGCCACCATTTGGATAACGCTCACCAGGGACAGGGTCCCAGAAACCATGTTTAACCCATAGGGTGGATTATATTAGGGCCTGGCCACTGTGTGGGAGACGTCTTTAACCCGAGGATGGGCTGCAAGGTTGCTGAGCCACCCGTAGTTAAATAAGATAATAAAGACATGAACTCATAAATAACAGTTTCAACAAGCTGTGGGAAATGAGATATTATGTCTGTTTGTCATATTATAATGAAAATGATGAACTCACGATATGGGTCTGCAGTAGTTTTCCATCAGAACTGAGGTTTCTTTGAAACTCAGTGATTACTTTTTCCAGTTCACCCTGAAATCATTATTTTAAAAGAGCATGAATGTTTTATTAAAATACTCTAGCTGTTAGCTGTTTTCTTGTTTTGTTGCAAGTTTCAGACTTGTGTAGGGTTCTTATCACTTTTAGGTTGTGAATGCAGGGACTGGCCAGCTGGTGCTGCAGAATCAGACATTCAGCAACTGATTAATGACAATTCCCGCCCAGGGGGGGGGGGGGGGCAAATAAAGTGCATGGGGATTCGATTCATAGCAAAAGCGAATGGGCGTCGCTTTGTGCAACAAAGCCTGGCGTATGATATCACAACGTCTAGTTTGAGAATGAATGTGAAAGCAGTCACTGCTGCCTTCCGCTGGCTTGAGAATCAGTCGTACACATATACCGTAATTATAACTGACTCACAGGGCATTTTGAGAAAAATGGAGACAGGTATGCTCCGTGCATAGTGGCAAGCATCACTTCAAAGGTCCCAGGTAGTTAGCATCCTCTGGATATTTTCTCCAGGTGATGTCGGTGTGTTGGGAAATGAGCAGACAAATATACTGGCCGGTTCTACTCCACTTGGTTGTGAATGGATGTATGACAAGCTAGATGTTGTGAGTGCCCTTTGGGAGCCAGTTAACAGTGAGAAGGCACATATACTTTTAACGGTCTAAGGAGAATGAGGAGGGGATCTGGCCGACGCTCAACACTCAAGAGAAAGGTGAGATGGATATACAATCAAACAGTTACTGTGCCATCAGAATCGAAAATCTTTGCTTGGTGCTGCAAATGGGGACATAGCCTTTATGGAAGTGTCCCGAGTGCTATGATGTCAATTCTTAATTTAATTAGTTCAGTACTTGCAAGTTTCACTTGACCCCTTGCGATAATAAAATGAATGTGAACAATCGTGAACGCATTACTTTCAAAGTAGCTACGTACGCAGAGGTCGTCAGATTTTTTTAGTAAGTTTTGCTCAGATGCGAGAAAAATCAGAGATCACATCACGTTATGGAGGCAATCATGAAGTAGATTCATTAACTCAAAAAGTTACAGAAAGGTGAAAAAAAAAAGGCAATATAAAAGACGCGAACCAACTTTTAAATAACTAAATACAACTTTAATAAGGTTTTATGGAACTATGTCTTCTGTTTTATTTAATATATAGCGATAATGTAGGGCTTTGTGAAAGTTCTTAAGTAATAGACCAGTTAAGACGTATGAACACAGTGAGACCCTGAAGAATTCGCAAAAAAGTAAGTCCCGAGATCCACTTGGACCTCTTTTACTGCTAAAACATAAGAGTTTTGCAGTAACTTTGGACAGAATGTGGTAACTTTAGCACGAAGACATGTGGTAAACGTTCTGACTATAGTAAACCATGGGTATTTTCGTCATTCGTCTATAAAACCACATCTCCGCTGCTTCGAAAAATGTTATAATTGATTGCCCAACTGTCTATGATTCACTTCTGTACATCAGCTTAGGATGTATACAAATAACACATATTCTAACCTTTACTAAAAGGTTTTAAAAAAAAATTCAAAATTAAATAAAGTTGAATCTCTTTTTTTAATTTGCGGCCACACACAAAACATTTACCTGTAAAGGAGGACCAGGTTTCTGAGTTTCGTTGAAACTGATAAGTGATTCCAACACACGTGTACTTGGTGCAACAGGGTCGATTTGAAACTGAGAAAATAGTTGAAGGCGAATTGAAAACATCTAGAGAACGTGTAACACGTAAATAACACAGGATGTACCACGAGCATACATTGAGACTGAAGTAAAAGTAAAGATGCATTTCCCCGCCTTTGCACGCATGGGGCACATGGGGCTAGACCTGTACTTTATAGACCAATGGGCACTTGGTGGCTGATGTGATCAACATCACGTCGGCCCCCCTTAACTTTCTAAGACTTCACCCTGGTATTCATGCAAGGCTGGGTCAACCTGGTTGCCAAGGTCATTTCTGAAAAAAGTCTGTTCTTTTCTGATCTTTAAGCGAGCGTCTAGCCGCTACACCACGGCGGCTGCCTTGAGGTTGAAGTAAGAAGCTGAAGTATTATTGAGCAAGTTTTCAACTGATATAATAATATAAACCAGTGTTTCCCAAACTTGTCATAGTCGCGGCGCCCTTTTTTAATAAACAATTTGTCCACGGCGCCCTAACCTAAGTAAAAGTATGACTATTCGTATGTAAGAGATAAAGGTAGAAAAAAACTCGTGTATCTTTAAATATTTGCTGCGCCCCTGTGAAGAGGTCGTGGTGTCACTGATATAGGCAATGTATGATCAGCCGCTCACAAACAGTTATAAAACTAAGGAGATGGCGAACAGCTGGACATGTTGTAATAAGAAGCCGGGACATTCAATAAAATGTTACACAATCTCTTTGGCTAAAGGGTTATGAACAGTTTCATAATTGCAATACATCTCAGTTGATTCATCTGCAGACAATTTGGCAGAAGACCTCTTTGGTTGATTTCGACAATGTTAATAGAGTTGACACGTTCCTGTGGTGTGGCGTTTTCAGTTCACACGTCTAAGCATAGCAGGTAATGATCACACTGGAAATGGTAAACGTGATAGTTTCCTACTGGACGGTTCGCTATTCAGAATATGTGTGTACAGCGAGAATTGTAGTACCAGTAACTGGTAGCATTCACATGTTACAGTTTTACTGAGTGGCGTAAGCCTACAGCTAGTGGTTTTTTTTTCCCTTTTTCTCGCTATGATGGAGATGTGAACAGAGTGACATATTTTAAGTAAACAGTAAAAGAGTAAAAATAAATAATAAAATACATTTTCTTTGCGAACAGAAAGCGTGAGCAGCGATTGCAGCCGATATTGTTCCGCCTTTCTACTGAATCGTCCAGAAAGCAGAAGCAAACTACTGAGTAACATAATTGCTGGTAAATCTTAAACAGCTTACAAATGGTGAGGTTGATTTATGATGTCCTGTAAAGAATACGCAAATAATTTGTTAAACCCACATCTTTATGGTTACCCTCACATTATTTATCCTGTATCCTGTTTTATGCACCACACTGAAGTGACGAATAAATGAGACACATATGGGGCATTCATAATGCTATTTTGTAACTTTGATCTGTTAAATGTTTTAAGCGATTTCATGTAGTTAATCTTTAGTCGAACCACACATAATATCTTTTTTATCTACGCTGAATTAAATCCTAACTGGACCTTCTCAAATTTCTGGGTGGACACAGATGCCAAGGTCAATTTTAAAAAAATGTCAGGCGATGAATTCAAAATCCTTTGGAGATAAAGAGAGAAGTAGTCGGTGGATTGTGGTTCCGGGGTGCGTGTGTGTGTGTGTGTGTGTGTGTGTGTGTGTGTGTGTGTGTGTGTGTATTTGTTGGTTATTTAAAAATACAGTAGTAAGCTTCACTTTCAGCTGTTTAAAATAATAATAAAAAAAAAGCTTTAGCATGTGATAAATAAATAATCATTTCTTTTAGTCTTAATAATAATACAATTTAAACGACCTTTAATATAAAGACACAACTATGTGTTGTATATTCAAGAGCCAGCAAACCAGACTATCTCTATATCTGCGCAGACAATGATTGTGAAATTAACCATATTAGACATGTGCACTTTCTATATTTTTTTTTCTATTTAGCCAGACTGAGGCACAGCAATGCGTGGCTGGGTACAGCAAGTATAATACAAAATGGCTCAGCAAAACAATGATGACGATGATGATGATATCGATATGCAGCTTTGTAACCAGTTAGCGAGTATTCTGTTCAATATACTTGAAAAGTCTTCTCTGTTAAATGAATAATTCAAATAAATTTCACGAAACAAAATTTCTAACTAACCGTTTTATTGTATGCAGCATAGTTCATGTCAAAAGCTCCCATGAAATCAATGAACGCCATCATTTGACCAGTGGTGATGTTGATCGATCCAAAATCAATGCTTTTTCCATCAATTTTGCCTTCAATGCTGAATTTCTAAGGAAAGGGGTAAGCTTTAGTCTTGTGATATTTATTCCTATAGACTGTATAAATGATCTTTATACTTAGCAAAGTATTCCAAAATATAGAATTTTATATACATAATATCGCTGTCAAGTGATGTGAGATAGTTTTTAAGAGCAATACTTAATCAAACAGGATGTTTATAAAGTAGTAACATATTGTGAGGAGATCAGAGGCAAATTAACAGGCAGCTGCAGTTATCTCGTTTTATTGCAAAATACTCATAACCTCTTCCTCCTTATCGTATTTACTGGCTGTAAGCTTCGCCAGAAAGTCCTTTTTGTTTGTCCGATTCTGGACTTGGCACTTCTTTCAGAAATTGAAATTTTGTTCTGTTTTACACTGCACATCAGTTTTACAGATCTTTTTTATTTGTGTCCAGACTGTTAGTTTCTTGCTTCTCAGAGAGATGCAGTCCGATTTTAAAGGAAACAATCCTTAGTTGGCCAGACGCCGGATTTGTAACCTCCTCCTCCTTCTTATTCTCCTTCTTCTTCCTCCTCTTCCCCCTTCTTCTTCTTCTTCTGCTTCTTTCGTTCACCAGCAGTTTTGTCCCTCGTATAAATTTCATTATCATTTTTAGTTCGTTCGGTGGTCCATAGGGTTAACGTTTCACTGTTGATCTTTCTAGCCATGTTCAGCTGTGTGGGGCAACTTTCCACAGGTGCGTATGACTAATAAACCAATCTAGAATTTTGTGTACATACGGTCACGTAATTGGTGTGCTCTGTTCTGAGAGGAAGGAGACTGTTTTTTTTTTTCTGGTCTGTCCATGATAAAATAGTTATCTTGTGCTGGGGCTAGTGGTTTCCTAATCGATTTAACGATCCTTTTCTTATGGTCAAATATAACTGGTATACCCGGCTGCTCTTTTGAGGCACCTTTCCCCTGCCAATTGATCAGCTTTCTCATTTCTATGCCACTTCACAGTGGGACGGTATCCATTTCATTGCGACTCTTCGCTAACAAGTGAGTTGTGTCAGCAGTGCTTGCAATTATAGTAGTTTCATTTTAGAACCTGTTGTCTAGGTTGACCAGGATGAGATGTGGATAGATCTTGACCAATATGCCAGGTCCTGGTGCACCTCTGCATTGAGTTTAAAACATAAAGTACAAATAACAAACATAATGATAATGTCTTGAAACCAATTAATTATCACTTTTGCGATACATGCAGCAGGTGGGGGGTAGGGATAGGGGATCTTTACGCCTGAAGATTTAGGGCCGCATATCCGGTGCTGTCGCCACAGACTGTGCAGGTGAGGTTTTATTTAACCTCGACAGAAAAAAAAAGCCCACAGGATCCGAACCGGGTCTCCCACATGAGCGCCCAAAGTTCAAACCAATCGACCAGCCTCTCTTCAGTTAAATGATTACTTGCCTAACAATAGGATACTCCACGCACTGGAGAGGATGGGGATTTAGGATTCTTACTGTTTTATTTATGAATGTTGACTGTTAATTTTTTAATTAGGAGTCGATATCACAGCTCTCGGGGAATTTCCATAAACGCACCGCCTCGATCTTTAGACGCAAGTGCGTAGTTACAATTGCGATGCCACCTGGAGTGTTGAGTGTGGACCAGATCCCCTGGTGACCATACCAGCACCACTCTCCTCCGACCGTGATGATCTATCTATCTATCCATGTGCATTGTTAACTCGTTCCCAAAGGACCCTTTAAACATTTGGCTTACCATTCCTCAGTTCATCGCCAAATGTTTTTATTACCCAAGACAGACTTTGGTAGCAACATTCTATGCTTGTCTATTTCGTGATATCAGCTTGACTGCAGTTGCTCCTACTGTAGACACCATGAAGTGGGAGGTAAGCATCACACTGCCAGAAACATTAATATTCTCACAATCACAAAGTTCATGTAGGGTTTAGACTGGTGAACTAATATATTTACTAAACTCCTTTTTGTTTGTGTCTTCTGATGGAGTCAAGAGTTATTCCTCAGTACGATGAAACTGTTTACGTCTGTCAACATATACAGTGAAGATGAACTGTTCTTTAATTTAAATAGTATAAAGATATTACCAAATGACAAAACTGCCTGTCACCTAAAAATTATAATAAATGCGGAAGCAATTGAAGATGTCACAAACTTTGAATATCTAGGATTCATAATAACTAACAATGGAGACTGTCTAACAGAAGTCTAAGGGAGGATGGTCTTAGTACCTAATAGTGTGAAGAATGAACAGCATTAAAAAGTCTATGGTTAAGTACCAAGTATGCATTTTCCCTGCAGCAAAATGCGAATGTGAATCGTGGATTATTTCTCATCCTTAAGTGAAAAATAGAAGCTTTAAAGTTGAAATCCCTAGGAAAGATTCTCAAAATGCCACGAAAAATAAAGAAGAAGAAAAAAAATACTGACATCTTAAAAAAATCTGAAAATCAAGACAGGTTGATTAGTAAACAAAATTTTGTCTCTGAAACTAAAATACTGTGGCCATATTCGGTGAGATTATAGAGAAAGCTGGAGTAAGACTCTGGTAGGTGCAAAGAATTTGCGTTATTCAGACGATACAGTTTTGATAGCTGGAAATGAAACTGATTTACAATAACTGCTGGATATTGTGGGGATAGAGAGTGCTAAGAAAGGACTTTCATGGAATATTGAGAAAACGGAAGTAATGGTTATATCAAAGAAGAAGATAAATCCACGTTGTGATAGAATAGGTTAAAGGAAAAAGTCTTAATCAAGTCAATAAATCTAAATATCTGGAAAGAATCATATCATGAAATGAAAATGTGTGACAGAGATTAAAAGCAGAATAGGTCAAGCGGAAGCTGCATTTCAGAAAATAAAAATTATCTTATGCAACAAATCGCTCTCATTTAATGTCAGAAAGAGGATGCCAAAATGTTACATAGAACCTGTTCTGCCGTTTGGCAGCGAATCTTAGAATGTCACTAAACAAATTAGGAAGAATTTGGAAGCAACAGAGAAATGGTTTCTGAGACGAATGTTACGAATACCTTGAACAAACACTTTTCTTTGGCCACATAATCAGAAGAGAGACATTATAGAACATCGCGACAACTGGAAAGATCAGTGGAAAAGGGATAGAGGCAGACCAAGAGAGATGATGCTGGATAGGCTAAAACGATGGCATGGAGGGATATCATCAAGAGATGAAGGCAGGAAACCAGGGATCGTGATCCGTGGAGACGCATGAGTACCTACGTCAGTTGGCAGGGCGCATGATGATGATGATATTCGGTGCCACGAAGAACTGTATAAAATAAATTAGAAGGCATGGTCCCAGGAAAAAGTGATAAGAGCTGACTAGCACCAACAACAAAATGAACACGCAACATAAATGCAAGATTTGGCAGAAAATTGCACAAGGTTGAAGAACAGATGAGAGAGTTACTTTCTGGCAGTCCGTGATGAGAATGACGTTGTTCATCAAAGGACCTGCTACATGATGAGAGAGACGTTGTTCATCAAAGGACCTGCTACATGATGAGAGTGACGTTGTTCATCAAAGGACCTGCTACATGATGAGAGAAACGTTGTTCATCAAAGGACCTGCTACATGATGAGAGAGACGTTGTTCATCAAAGGATCTGCAACATGATGAGAGAAACGTTGTTCACCAATGGACCTGCTACATGATGAGAGAGACGTTGTTCATCAAAGGACCTGCTACATGATGAGAGTGACGTTGTTCATCAAAGGACCTGCTACATGATGAGAGAAACGTTGTTCATCAAAGGACCTGCTACATGATGAGAGAGACGTTGTTCATCAAAGGACCTGCAACATGATGAGAGAAACGTTGTTTACCAATGGACCTGCTACATGATGAGAGTGACGTTGTTCATCAAAGGACCTGCTACATGATGAGAGTGACGTTGTTCATCAAAGGACCTGCTACATGATGAGAGAAACGTTGTTCATCAAAGGACCTGCTACATGATGAGAGAGACGTTGTTCATCAAAGGACCTGCTACATGATGAGAGAAACGTTGTTCACCAATGGACCTGCTACATGATGAGAGAGACGTTGTTCATCAAAGGACCTGCAACATGATGAGAGAGACGTTGTTCATCAAAGGACCTGCTACATGATGAGAGTGACGTTGTTCATCAAAGGACCTGCTACATGATGAGAGTGACGTTGTTCATCAAAGGACCTGCTACACGATGAGAGTGACGTTGTTCATCAAAGGACCTGCTACACGATGAGAGTGACGTTGTTCATCAAAGGACCTGCTACATGATGAGAGAGACGTTGTTCATCAAAGGACCTGCTACACGATGAGAGTGACGTTGTTCATCAAAGGACCTGCTACACGATGAGAGTGACGTTGTTCATCAAAGGACCTGCTACATGATGAGAGAGACGTTGTTCATCAAAGGACCTGCTACACGATGAGAGAGACGTTGTTCATCAAAGGACCTGCTTCATGATGAGAGTGACGTTGTTCATCAAAGGACCTGCTACATGATGAGAGTGACGTTGTTCACCAAAGGACCTGCTACACGATGAGAGTGACGTTGTTCATCAAAGTACCTGCAACATGATGAGAGTGACGTTGTTCATCAAAGGACCTGCAACATTATGAGAGTGACGTTGTTCATCAAAGGACCTGCTTCATGATGGGAGTGACGTTGTTCATCAAAGGACCTGCTACATGATGAGAGAGACGTTGTTCATCAAAGGACCTGCTACATGATGAGAGAGACGTTGTTCATCAAAGGATCTACTACATGATGAGAGAGACGTTGTTCATCAAAGGACCTGCTACATGATGAGAGTGAGGTTGTTAATCAAAGGACCTGCTATATGATGAGAGAGACGTTGTTCATCAAAGGATCTACTACATGATGAGAGAGACGTTGTTCATCAAAGGACCTGCTACATGATGAGAGAGACGTTGTTCATCAAAGGACCTGCAACATGATGGGAGTGACGTTGTTCACCAAAGGACCTGCTACATGATGAGAGAAACGTTGTTCATCAAAGGACCTGCTACATGATGAGAGTGACGATGTTCATCAAAAGACCTGCTACATGATGACAATGATCAAACTTAACCTTCCCGTAGTTCATAAATTCTGACACACACGTGATACTGGCCTCAGAATTGATGAACAATGGCGCATTTTGAAATATATCTGTAGTTCAGTGGTTTTCAACCTTCCTAAATCCGCAACACTTTAATACAGTTCTCCATGTTGTGGCAACTCCAAAACATACAATTATCTCCGTTACTACTTCATAACTTCAATGAATATATATTTTCCGATGGTCTTAGGCGACCCCTGTAAAAGGATCGTACGACCCAAAAAAAAGTGTCGTGACCCACAGGTTGAGAACCGCTGCTGTAGTTTGTAAACACCGACAGATTAAAGATAATGACCACTGACTAGATGACCTCTAATATGTTTACTGACCTTCTTGTAGTCTGTGGCTTCAGACAGATTCAAGATGTTGGCCTCTTCCATTTTCAACGCGGAGTATGCGGCTTCACTGTTTTTGCAAGATCTAAAGAAATATTAAGCATAAGACATGCATACGCAATATAATGATAATGATGATGAACAACAACAACAACAATGACAGTTAATTTAAAAAAAAAAACATATGTATGTATTAATTAAATAATTATTAAAGTCAAAAGATCGACTTATTTGCACAAGGTTTTACCCATTGAGCTTGGTTTCTCTCCGCAGAACGGCGAGCCACCTGCCAAGAGCGTTGCACAAAGCACGAACTGCATACCTTCGGTCGCGATCTCAATGATCTCCATAAAAATTTGCACTTGTGAATTGAACGACGCGTCGGTAAAACTAACTCTCGACCTTTAGGGAAATGGGTTAACTACTTCGCCATTGAGAGGGTGATTGGGGGGGGGGGGGGGGCTCCTCATACCCCACCCTGTACACGTCTCTTAAGCATTATATGAAAAGTTTTATTTTTAATGTTCCCACATTACTAGTAGCAGGATCCTGTGCCAGCTCAGTGTCCTATCAGGCATGTGGTAGAGGGTTTCGATGCTTTTCAGAAGAAAAAAAAGGAGAAGAGGAGATTTTACTGAGTCAGTCCAACTTTAACACAGTTTCAGAAGACACTATAAACATTTATTACATGGCGTGCGGTTCTGGGAAAGATGGCAAGTTTTGTGCGCTAGTGCTTCCACCGATACACCTCCACGACCCTAAAAGGTCAAGAGTTATGTTATCTTATGAAATGTCACGTAAAAAGTCCTACTCAATCAACTTGGATTTGAAAATCGTCCTTGGTTACCTGGTCTACCCAGACTACAACGGGTACTAGAAAATAACCCACTTATAATCCTTAGAAGTTTGAGGTTTGAGGTTTTGAACAACGGATCAACATCATGGCACACGAGTAGAAACTCTAGTGCTTCGTTCTTCTTCTAACTCAACTCTGAGTTTGAAGAAGCTCCGCACAGTGCACATGCTCTCTAGCACCGGTGAGGATCCTAAAATACTTTGCGTAGATTTTAAATTCCAAATTTTGCTCGGGCAGCGCCGTTAGGCTACTCGTTTTGATTTCCAACTGCCAAAGGATTTTTTTACGTGCGCAGCAATGCACATGGGCGTCTGATCTCACTACCCAGAAACCAGAGGAAATTACTAGAAGTCCAAGTTCACGTCAAAAAAAAATCACTGGCCCTTACCGGGGATTGAACCCGTAACCTCTAGCACTCGAGGCGGACACCATGTATCGAGACCACGCAGCCCCTTATAATAAACCTTAGAAAATCCATAGAAAATATTCTTGCTGGCCGACGCTTAACTCTCAAGGGAAAGACGAGACGGATAGACAGTCAGACAGTTACTGGTACTATCAGAATTGAAACTCTTCGCATGCTGCTGAAGATAAGGACGGACCGCTAATGGGAGTGTCCTGAGTTCTATGCTGTCGATTCTTTATTTAACACTGATATAATCCTTCCTTTCCTGGCCTGGGCTTCCGGTCACTTCGTAGCCGTCGAAGGGCCCCATTAAGGAGAGAGACGAAGTTGAAATCGTAAAATTTTAACATTTTGGGCTTCCGTACATAATTCACAATTATCGATAGTAGAAAACAGCTGTGCAAACGGGGTTTAAAAAGGAGTATGTTTTAAACCCTATGGTTAAACAGGGTTTACGGGGATTTGCATATGTAAGATTCTCATCGTTGAGGTGTTAATTCTGCTGACTACAACGCTGGAGCGGACAAAGTACCAACATGACCTGAACAGTAAGGGTTGCAGGTGGGTGCTTTATTAATATCCTACCCTAGATGACGTCACAGGACAGTCCAACATCTTAGAGGGTGGTAAGACTGGGTTTCCCGCTTTCTTATACTTTTAACGACGCCAAAACATCTAGAATCGGCCCTCCCAACCCACCTACGTCCCACAAGAGTGCAGCCTTGGTCCCAGGACTGCGTGTAGACTAAGTCCTACCACTGCATGCAGCCTATCTACCACCCCCTGAAATATTAGACTGTTCCGTGACCTGTGGATTTTCCCTGTTTGGGGTAGGATGTTAATAAAGTACCAGGAGGTGTGATGTTGGCTGCGTCACCCATGGAGTGCTTACTGGCCACAAAGTAAGTTTCTGGCACCTTATGTCTGAGGTGCAAGATGTGAGGAGGTTCCTTCCCTTTCATTATCATCATGTAGCAGGTCCTCTGCAAAACGTCGCTCCTATCAGTCTCTTTGAAAGAAAATCGGTCTCTTGCAGGCTCTCCCACCTCGTGTACTGACATATTCAAGGAGTCATCTGTATCATGTCCCCATCTTCGTGTTAGTCGGCCTTTCCCTCATTCCTATACCATATCTTCTGCTAATATGTTTTTCCCAATCCGCCACTGCGCTTGATATGACTATAACATGTCAGCTTCTGAGACAAGATGCTGTTTATAAGCCAGTCTTCTTTTATATTAAGATCTTTTAGAATGTCACTATTTCTTCTCTTCTTTGCCCATTGTTTTCTGAGAATCGCTCGATTGTATTTTCGATTAAAAGCAATTTTTGACTCCCATGATGAGTTTCTTGGGATAACAATGCTATAGTTTGCCCTTGCTTTCCATATCCACATGGCTTTAGTCTACTTTACTAACAATAATTCTCTGGCAAATGCAGTTTTGGAAAGGTAAATTATTAAGTCTTCATATTTAATAGGCCACGGCATGATAGGCTGGGGTAGAATAATCTTAAAATATGTATTAGATTTTAAAAGAAGTAGCGACATATATTAACGTCACTGAATCTCAAAACATTACCCAATCCATGATGAGTATGTGCAGTAGTTTCAATAACACTTACTCCATTAGCTCAGACAGTTTAAGGGACACTTGTTTGCCAGCGTAGATCTTGCTCCCAAGCCAGGATTCATTCTTACCACTGTCCCCAAGCAAGTTGTAATCACTGAGAAGCTTCCCACGCCAGAAAGACAGAGGAACGTCAAGAATATAATCAATACATCAGAAGAAACTGGTTATGGAAATCTGATGGTTCCTCCTTATACAAACAGAGCATTGAAAAAAAGTGAAAAGCAAAAGGTATTTTTGACGAAATGGGCACATAGGGCACATGGCGCTAGATACACATCTTAATAGCTTCCTTTGCACTCGATGGGTGATCTGGTTTTTTTTTTTTTTTTTTTTAGCCTTTACTGGTTGTAAACCCCAGATTCTGGACTAGGACCTTGTTGCAGAACTGAGTTCTCTGTTCCTATCCATTTTATAGATCCAACTTATTTGTAATTAAAAGCCTTTTACGACATACTTTTTGGGAGGCCGTGAGTTTATTCTCGTTTTCCCAAAACTGAGGCCCCGGAAGCTAGAGGGGGAGAGGTTATTGTGGCAAACATCAAGCTGGCTGCCATTACTTGCCAGGACATTTTCTCGGTAGCAATTTTAGCTGGATCACTGCGAGATCACGCTCAGTTGTAAAAATCCTTCTCTATGCAGATTCAAGACTGAGACCTTTAAACAAGATATAAATGGCAGAATTTTTACTGTATGTGATGCGATGATGGTGAATCATTGATTCACTGGCTCCAAAACGCTGTAAAATCAGTCATTTTTTGACTGAAACAGAAACGTCATTTCCGCTGAAATTTTTGTTTCTGTTCAATAATTTTTTAATCAAAATTCATATTGCTACTGATGCGTGTGAACTCTGTAATTCAAGTTAACTCTTACATGACATGAAGCGTTATTTACTACCCCGCTGATAAAGACTTTGGTCGAAAAGTTTGGTTGTATTTGTGCACGACATTTCCATTTTAGCCATTGAGCTTTTTAGTGGCTATTTATGTTGTATTTCGCTTCTTGTCCCTAGCTCGACTACATTCTATTACCCTAAAAAACCCATCCCTATGTGCCACACAATTTTTTCGTTATTTTGAAGACCCACCTTGGCTGTTGCCGGGGGCCCTAATATAACCCAACCTGTGGGTTGAACAGGGTTTCTGGGACCTGTCCCCGGGTGATCCTCATCAGAATGGTGGCACTTTGTGTTACCGGGTGCTTATCGCTCAGTGTGATGTCCTGGTGTGTTAAAACGGCAATCAAACATTTAGCTCGACTACAGTCACCCGCTATTTACGTCATCACTTTAGATGGAGAGAGCAGGCCTGCAGCAAATGTTTAGTTTATGTGGTGCCTGGCTACATGGGAAAAACTCGGAATCCCTGATCTTGAATTTATCATTCAATTGGCTGCAGAATCTGTTGTGTCCTAAACGCAGTCTAAATGTAGTGGTTTATTTCTTTCGTGTGAGGAGGTTGAATGGGTCTTCTTCGGAATTTTGACCTAGATGGGAAGTGTTCCAATGGCTTCTAATGGCTGCCTTAATCTGAGTTTTTATTTTCATGATTACATCGTGTATCATTTTACAAAATGAAGAATATTTTGTACAATCTTTCTTTGTCAGTTGATACGAGAAAGAGAATTGTTACTAGATATGTAAATCATATCTTGATATACGAAAGTGAATCATGGACAGTGGGAAGGTAGATTAGTAAAAAATTATTTGGAAGCTGCGGAGATGTGGTTCTATAGACGAATGATGAGAATACCATGGACAGACAAAATGAATAATGAAGATGTCGTGAAAGAGAGCAAAGAGAACTGATTGGCTACATCAGAAAGGGGCAATCTACATTCTGTGGCCATGTGATTAGATGGAAGAAACTGAAGTACATCATAACAGTAGGAAAGTCTGGAGGGGAGGAGAGGCACAGAGAGATCGAGAAAGAAGAGGCTGGACAGTTTGACATCATGGTATGGAGGATCATCTGCATCAGAATTGACTGAAAGTACACGAGACAGAAGTTTGTGTATGGACATGACTACCAACGCTCATGACATGGACTTTAAAAAGCAGATATCCTGTATATAACTTTTCTGTATGACTTCCAACTTTTGCTAAGCAGTCGCCTCTTTTATTTCCCTTAATACTGCAGTGACCTGGGATCCACTGGAGCACAGTCTGCTTGGTTAACTGGCCCATAAGGAGTTAAAATTTCACTTGCTTATGTATGTATACAGTACCTTATCAAAGATACTGAGATCTCGCACCGCTCCACAGGCAAATTTATCAGCAGGGGCACCACCAGCAAACAAGACAGTTGTCACAAGCATAGTCAGCCACGCAAAGATGAAGGTTAATATAACCGCCCTGAAAAAGAATAATAGTTTATTATTATTAGTATCATACTTCCCTCGAAGTCGGAGTACATCTGCCCGTGAGGCAGGGAACGGCAAAAACCAGTAAAACGGTTGTACACGCTAAAACTCAGGTCTAGGTAAAAGCCAGAAGTTCTAGCGGACGATTAACCGGGACCTTCTGCTGGAATTCACAGCCGGTGAACGAAGAAGAAGAAGAATTATTATCATATTAGAATTACTGTTTATAGTTATAAGACAAGGAAGACACATAAGCTATACCGACACATTCTGGGAAGAAACAGAGAATCATCAGGCACCGTCCATCCAGCCATCCATTTATGAAAACAAAACAAAAAAAATGGACGACGTTCAACCTAATGAGAACAGTATGGCCTATAACTGTGGTATAGTTATTTGTGCCAAGTATGTTGGCTAAGAAGTGTTAAATTGTACACAAATGAGTCGCTTCGATCGGTACTCTAGTACCTGGTGACGGTTGCTGGAGGAAATTTTTAAAAAGAGGGGTGGGGGGTGCACTTCCTTGCTATTGAACTCTAGTGATGATTGAAGATTTTACATACTTCCTTCCATTTATGAAAAACAAAACAAAACAAAACCAAAAATTAACCATGTTGAACCCACTTCGAGCATTGTCAGTTCTAATTGTGGTCCGGTTTCTTTGTGCCAATTATTTGGGCTAAGAAGTGGTAATTTCACCAAACTTAGTGGCTTGGACCGGTACTCAATTACCTGGTGATTGTTGCTGAGGAAAAAGGGTTAGGGGGGGGGGGGGGGGGCTGGTGTGCACGATTATCAACACTCCAGTGCCAGTGAACACTAGTGCTGACCGAAGATTGTACTGAAATGGAAAATAGAGGAAATGAAGAATCGAGGACGTCCAAAAGAAACTAAGATGAAAGTTGCTAAGAGAAGCTGAGGGGCTAGACTGGATTGCATACATTATGTGGAAATGATTGGATAGGAGGGAACACAATGGAGAAATAGACAGCAAGCTTTATGTGGCATATGATGGCCGCAAAAGGACATTGAAACATAATTATAAAGATAATGATTGCCTATTACCAATAGTTTTGTTGCTTTTAAAATACGCAATCCTTTGCATAATTGTATAGAAAAACACAGTGGTACTTAACATAATAATAAGCGGTGAAACTAAGGTAAATTAACAAGTGAGCATACTATTATCACACAGCACGAGGGGCCATTTATAACTACTTTTAACAGTTAAAGATCAGTTTTGATTTTTGATCGTATTTCAAAACTGTACTTACTGCAGAAAATTATGTAAGCATCAATATTCAAGTTACATAACTCTGGAAGAAATTGTATAGACCAGTGGGCACTCGGTGGATGATATGTTCAACACTACTTCGGCCACCTTTATGTCCCGGAACATTTGCTGGCACCCCTTTAGCACTGGGTCGACTTGGGAATCTTCAAAGTTGTTTAAATCCTCTTTCAATGATGATTCGTACATCAGGTTATTATTTAGGAATTACAGTGTCTCAATCACATTCGGTACTGCAGAAGGTTAAACATGGACAAATGTGGCGTGAGTAGATACCATACATCAGTACGCCAACATTACAAGGACTTACGTGGATGTACTGTAAGGAACATGCAGGAGTTCAAGGGAATGAAAGTGCAAATTTTGTGCTTAAAAAAGCAAAAGTTATGGGAAAACTTGGAAAAAGAAGATGTTCTGAAGACCATTTATTACCGTATGCTGATAGAACACATGAAGTCAGATTAAATATGTTGTGTAAGAATGTGTGAACGAGAAATTAGGTGTGGATCCACCAAGGATGGACGTAGGAGAAGAAGAGAACTACGTGTTTATAACAAGTGTCCAACAGGACTAGTTAGCATCTATATCTTAGGAAATTTGCTGCGGAAGATCTATAGGTATGTCTGGTGTGCTATAAAGTCGATTCTTAAACCAGTAAATCAGCTATTAGTGAGGTTGTCAGATGCTGTCCTAACTTCACAGCAAACAGGCCATTTTACTGTGAAAATCACATAAAATACTTATCCCCTGTCCCATGTAAAACATTAAACATACAACAGTCCTATTTGTACATTTGACTACCAGATCAACATGCCAGCGTGATTGTCATTGAGCAATAGTATTTCTCTAACTGAACATGAACCACTACCATAAAGGAAATGATGAGATCTGCGAGCACCAAAAGCAAACGAAACAGTAAGTAAAGTAAAGGACCCGTTTTTAAGCCCCTTCAGGCATATTTGGCATATAGGGCTAGATCTATTTTTATAGACTAATCGGCACTAGGTAGGTGATGTAGTCAGCACGTCCCCGGCCGCCTTTACTTCCTATGACTGTACCCGGTACCCACTCAAGAAACAAATCAGTAGTCACAAACATAGTCAACCATGTAAAGATGAAAGGTAATCTAACCACCGTAAAATATAAAATTATAAAGAAAATTATTGCTAAGACCAACAGTCTGTTGCTTTTAAAATATACAATGTTTTAAAAAATAAATAACATTAAAGAAAAAGAAATGTAATAGAAACAAACAATAAGCAACACCACTTAAGCAAATCAACACCAGTAAGGACACACTCTGTAATTACGTTACTAGCAAGTTGCCTCCAGCGTTAGACATCGCACTTCTTTCTGTGGGATCATCTGCGGGATTGCCTCCAAAGAAGCCAAACAAGATGCCAAGTGATAGTAGAAGTGCAACGAGCATCAGAATTCCGGCCATGGCTAATCCTCCATACCATCTGAATGACAAAATAATATAAGAGATCAGCGCCTGATTCATAATTTATGAGGTCCTAAACTATCAAAAACACTGAGGCCCCTACCGTTTCAAATTACATCAGCTATTCTTAGGAAACTTTCAAATGTAAACGGCTTTTAAAAATATGGATAGGGGAAATATTTTTTTTTTTGTTCAGTTATTATTAAAAGAAATAATAAAGAACATGTTTGCAACATCACATAAATTATGTTATTTATATGATTCTCTAAAAGGCTCTCAGTTACAACTGAAAACATGTTTTTTATTTTTTTATTTCCTAAACACAAAAATAATTGATTATATCATAAAAAGATACGCTGCGTAAAGTGCCGCTTTTTACACACACACTCGCGTGCTCGCACACGCACAAACCATACACACACACAAACCATACACACATACAACCCACCCACACACACACAAACTGCACACACACAAACCGCACATACACACACAAACACACACACACACAGACATATTTATATATATATATATATATATATATATATATATATATATATATATATATATATATATATATATATATATATATATATATATATATATATATATATATATATATATATATATATATATATATATATATATATATAAGAGTCTTTAAAGTGTTTTTTAATGCATTTGTAGAAAAAATTGATCTATTTTTAAGACCTTGCAGATTGTGAAGCTCTAAGCTGATCTGATTAGCTCATCCCTAAGTGTGGCACTATATCTTGTCATCTTTTTGTGAGATGCAATTTTTTCGTTATTTGAAACCCTACTCTGGCTCTTGCCAGGAGCCGCAATATAGCCCGGCCATAAATATGGTCTAATGGCTAAACGCAGTTTCTGGGACCTCATCGGTGATCCTCATCCACATGGTGGCACTTTGTGTCATCGGGTGTTTATCGCTTGTGTGATGTCCTGGTGGGGTAAAATAAGATAGGTAGAGAAATGTGGCACTGTTGTAGAAGATTAATGTGGTGGTCAAAGACTCTGCAGAAATAATTCTGTGTAGTCTATTTTATTTTATCTACATTCGTTGGTCAGGGGATGAGGAGAAGAAAACTTGACTACAACCTGACAGTAGGAAAGATGGATCTGGCGACAGTTGACCATTTTGCCTATCTGGGTTCCACAGTGAATAACAAACTATCGCTGGACCAAGAAATCAACATTAGGATAGGTGAGGCAGCACCAACAATAAGCAGATTCACAAAAAGAATTAAGAGTTTGAGAGAACAGAAAGCTCACAATTAAAATAAAGACCTCTTGTCTATCAGGCTTGTGTTCTCAGCAATCTGCTTTATGGCAGTGAAAGTTGGTCAGCTTTTTCGCACCAGGAGAGACGGCTAAATATCTTTCACATGCGATGCCTAAGAAGAATACTTGGCATTAACTGGCAGGACAAGATCACAAACACTGAGTTATTGGGAAAAGCAGGTACTACAACAATCTTCTCAATGCTCCATCTACGAAGGCTTAGGTGGCTGGGTCACACCTGGAGAATGGAGGATGGCAGAGTCCTTAAGGACATCCTTTATGGTGAATTAAAGAAGGTAAAAGATGTCGAGGCCAAACTCTAATCCGATATATAGACGTGTGCACGTGGGACATGAATGATACAGGTATTGAGGTGGACTCATTGTATCTAAATGCCATGGATCGTGTTGTGTGGAGGGGGCACATCAGGAAGGTAATGAAAATGAAGGAAGAAATTATTGCAGAAAGAATAAGAGCTGAGCGTCTAAGAAGAAACAGACTAAACACAGATGTTGACAACAATGGTCCTGAAATCCCATGCTATGATAGTGGAAACTTTTCTTAACGTCGACAAATCATCATCGCCATGGACTGTGAGTCTCAGGCCTTTTCATAGTGCAATATAACACTATCGTTTGGAAAAACGGAAAGGTGCCAATCAGTCGTAGCTCCTGTGGTTTGCTAGTAGACTGAATTACTGTATTGGGAAATGTTTATCTAAAAAGAATGTCACCGAAACGAACCTTTAATCTAGTTTTGCATTTAAAAGTTAGTCAGCTGCTTGCTCTCAAGCGATAAACACCTGGTGACAAAAAGTGCCACCATGTGGATGAGGATCATCCGTGGAGAGGTCCCAGAAACCCCTTTCAGCCATTATAGCTACATTCATGGCCCGGCTATATTCAGGGCCCCGGGCAAAAGCCCGGGTGGGGCTTTAAATAACGAAAAATTGCATCTCACATGGGAACGACCAATATGTATATTTTACAAACAAACACTGCAGAAATAATTAACAAAATAAAATTGTAAAGACACATAAAAGATGCTTAAACACAAAAAATGTAATACCTGTATTGTTCATACTGAAGAACATAGTCTGTAATATCTTTCACGTTTGCTTTCATTTTGTCAATATCCACGCCTTTCATGACCTAGTATAGTTAAAACATATTTTAAAAAACAACGTGGACTCTTATTTTGTGAAAGAAATGACTACTATTTATTAAAATATTAAAACAATATGTTTCTTAATGGCTTGCAAATTTTAAATAAAACAATAAGCTTCTCAGCAGATTACCATTAAAAAAAATTAAAACATTTTTCTCTTCAGATCGCACGTTTCTTCACACTCTGACACAAGAATACAAAGTTAACTGGATGAAGAAAAAATACTAGGAGAAAGACAAATAGTTACACTAGGTATTACATTAAATTTATTGTGTATCCTTTACAGGACGTTGCAGAACCAACCCTAGCACTTTCTGGCTGTTGTAGTTTTTCTAGGCATTTACGTCCAGTAGTTTTCCATTGCTTCCTGCATGGTCGGCTTTCGGTGCCACTTTCGAAACCAGCGCAAGACAAACCGTCCGCAGCAGGGATCGAACCCGACACCCTGGAATTACGAAGTGCGTTCGCAACGCCTAAGCCACAGAAGCCGACAGACTAGGTATGCAATGTATAAAATACGCGTATAGAGATTTAACGATACCGGTGCATGTGGATTTTAGAACCGCACAAGACAAACAACTATGGAGCTCAATTGATCTGGTAAATTTTTTTTTCTCTTTATTGTTAAGTTACGATGTACAGCCTCAGATGAGGTTATAATTGGGGTTGTTATTTATGTGAAAATTTTCAATTTAAACAGATAGCTATATTCATGATACAACTTATTAGGTTGTTTTTTTTCATTGTGTAGGATGCTCTCATGTTCATATCTTTTTTTCATAGGGCTGGAATATTCTACTATTGGTTTTGATGCTACGAATCCGCGTATATGTATAAATATTCCCGTTTTTCTTTTCAGTGTTTACTTACCCGCCATTTTAAACTTTTAGAGAGTGTTATTTGTTTTTCTAGATGGACTAGTTTTTATTTAATGTTAAAATGTTTGTTCTTTAAATAAGTATTTTTAATATGATAACTTCCTGACGGGCTAAAACGATGGTATGGAGGGATATCATCAAGAGAGCTGTTCCAGGCAACTAGGGATCGTGATCTGTGGAGACGCATGAGCGCCTACGCCAGTTGGCAGGGCACGGGATGATGATGAACTTCCTGACAAGCCAAAGTGTTGACATCCTATTTGGACCCTCCTTCATGCCATTGACTGATCGGGTCACGATGCTAGACTGACATTACTGTAGACCAGTCGGTCGACGTTCAATGGATGACGTGGTCAACATCACGTAGGCCACCTTTACTTTCAATGACATTTCCTGGTATTAATTTTGTATGGGTTGAACTGGAAGCCAATGTCAGTTTTGAATATGCCCTGTGTAGATGCGAACTCCAGACCTTCGGACGGATAGGCAAATGTCTGGGCTGAAACATTTAGAGAGATGTGAATGTTGCTTCAGCTCATTCAGTTACAAATAATTACCCCTCTCCCCTCCCACCCCCAGTGTGGTTTCCGGGGCCCTTTTCTGGGAAAAAGGGTGGGGGGGGGGGAAAGAATAGACCCTCCGTCTCCCTAAAAATAATTTTTTTTTTTTTTTTTTTTTGGAGTCGACTAATTGGGAAATTCCTTCGAAGTCGGAGTACATCTGCCCGAGAGTTACGGGACCAACAGTTTGCCTACAGTCAGGCCATATCTGTAATATGGGTGCCAAAGTCTACAAACGGACGAACAACCAGGACTTTTCCGCCCTTGTCCGCCCAATTCCGCCAGGGTTTACAGTCTGTGAACGCAAACAGCAACAACACATAATGACTACTCAGATTGCATAATCAAAGCTTGTGGCTTATAATTTAAAAATATTATTCCATAATCCCACATATCGGGTGGATTTAGATGCAAGCTATCTGGCAACAAACAGCTTTGCCCAGAATTTTGACAAAGGTATAAGCCTTGACCGTGCAGCTGGCAATGGCATTCGTAAAATTGCCAAATAAAATCACGAACAACTAACAAATACTGGATTGCCACGTCCAGTTTCAAAAAAGCCAACTTTTTAACTTCTTTAGCCCCTTCCCCCCCCCCCCCCCACACACACACACACAGAGTCACACACGCACACACACACAGAGACACACATACCCACAGGCGTTGGTGCGTGGTTGGGTGCCTGCGTGCGTGTTTGCATGTGTGTGAGTGTGTTTTGGAAAAGGACTATGTCCAATTATTTCGCAAAGCAGTATATAAATGATCTTTTTGATATTGAATCATTGTTAAAAAATCTCGGAAGTACTCACGTCTGTCTGCATGTTCTTCAGATTGTCAATGATTTTTGTAATTTCGTCCTCATATTTCTGCACATCCTTCTTTAAGTCTTTAGAAATGAAATCAAGTAAATAAAAATGGAATAACTGTCATACATAAACTCACAGTCTAATGAAAGTGTAACATGCTACTGGGTAAGAACACTATCGCCATACCAAAAATGGCCAAAATATTGCCACAAATTACCAACAAATGGAATAACTGTAATACATTAACTCACAGTCTAATGAAAGTGTAGCATGCTACTAGGTAAGAACACTATCGCCATGGCTAAAAAATGGCCCCCAAAAAATGGAATAACTGTCAAACATAAATTCACAGTCTAACACAGTCTAATGAAAGTGTAACATACTACTGGGTAAGAAAACTATCGCCATGGCCTTTAGCAAGATGTAAAAGATTCTCAATCAACAAGGCAATGTCAGTTGCAGTGAGAAAAAGAGTGTTGAAGTGGTATGTAGAACTTATGTTGTTATATGCATGTGAAACATGGTCAACAAGCAAACACGCTGATACACGGCAGACACATGGTTTCTGAGAGGGATGCAAAGAATATAATGGAAGGATATAAAAACAAAGCCGTTCTCATCAAGACAGATAAATGTAAAATTATTAGAACATTTACACGTGGACAGTCAATGTTTGTTGTTGTTGTTGACATGTTAAATAGACTGGAGAGCTTGGTAACAAATGGCAAAATTCATGGAAAGAGAGCAAGGGGAAGCCAAAGAGTTAAATACCTGGATGGCCTGGACAGATGGATGGGGTGAGACAAAAACATTGAGCTGATCTGGGATTAAGGTGATCGCGTGGGATGGCGAGAAATAACATCCTACGCTTACCGCCAGGGGGCACGATGATGATGAAGTAACATTACGAATGCGGAGAAAACAACAACAAAAAGATGACGATAAAAGTGTTGTTGTTATTGTTGTTGATGATCAGTTATTTCACTTCAAGGAAGATGGTGAAGCTCCTGACTCATTCTCTAGCTATTTCTCATCGTCATCAACAAGCAGGTCCTTTACAGAACGTCGCTCTCTTCACGGCACACCTGAAAGTATCTCTTTCTCTAAGTAGTTCTCCGGCCTTATGTGCTTTCAGAGTCAATGCATCTGCAATATCTTGTAATCACTTTCTCATACTGCTCTGTTTACTTTCAGGTAAGAATATATCAGGAAGATGTGGTAGCTAAGTGGCAAGCATCTTCACATATCGGTCAGGCAGGTAAGGGGATTCTAGTCAAGACCTATCTTCGCGGGAAATCTAGAACAGCGTTCTTACTAGAGACCTGGCCAACGAAGATAGGATCGGCGTTTCTTTCGTACATCAGTCGGAAATACGTGATTCTGCTGATCGCGAAAGATGGCGAAACATGACAGCCTATGTTTATCGGCATGGCACATGATGATGATGGTGTGGTAGTGATGATTATAATTATGATGATGATGTTAACGATGATGAGGTGTAAGCCTATGAACATGCTAGATGCTACTGGAGATAAACAAGATGTGAGAAAAGGTGACCGACAACGCATGTAGGCAAGATCTTTGATAACGATCAAAACAATCCTACCTTTTCTCTGTTGGGAAGTCTGCGTTTGTACTTTCTCCGGAATTTCATTGAGTTTCGCCTTCGACTGAAATTGTGGGAGAAAATACTGATTACTGATTTTAAAATCAACATTATAGCACACCGGGCATACGCATAGATGCTCCGTCTCCAGCAGAAAACGTCTTAAGTTGTAGATGCTGTTTCCGTAGCACACTGATTATACACACGTCGTTCTCTTCCTCTCATCCGTCCCTCCTTGTCGGATCCATACTTAATTCCTCGTTCACACATTCTTGCACATGTTATTTCATCTAATCTCGTGTCTTCTGTCAGCAGTCTTCCATATACGGTCTTCAGAATATCTCCATTGTTCATTTCAGTACGAGTGTTCCTGTAGCTTTCGCTTTTGTAGCGAAAATATCCGCTCTTTCATTGTCTCGCACTCCTGCATATCCAGGACATTATATCCACGTGATTCCCTGCAATGTTGGCGTACTGATACATGGTATCCACTCATTCCACATTAGTCTATTTTGAACCTTCCGCGGTGCCGATTGAGAAACAGACACAGTAATTCCTCTGGTAAAGTTGTTTTCTGCTATCCAATTGAGAGAGAGTTGTAGTGAGTGCCTCCACTTCCATTCTCATCCTTGAAGAGCAAATACAATTCTTTAGAGATAAAGTCACAGGTAGTGATGGGATCGGCAGTCGTTGTAGTGAGTATCAGAAACAGAGACTGAAGACCGCCCACATCAGCGTCGTCAGAAGTTTGAGGCCAGGTCTCGATGTGTGGCACTTATCAGATTTATTCATGTGGTTACACAAAAAAGATAGTTTCATCGATCCATTTCTCCTTAG